GCTTCGTAAAGTTAGCATCACATCAGCTGCCAAATTCAAGGTTAATGTTTTTCTTCTTTTGTAATTAAATCCACAGCAGATTTTAGGCTCGGGCTGATATTCAATAATATGATATTTCCATCTGCCCTGCTGCTGAGTCGACCCTCAGTTCACTGCTGTGCTCACTGCAAATAAAACCTTGAACTGCTGTTTAGTGGCAGCATTGCTTATACCTGAAACATAATAATAACACGTATATCTGAATATTGGGCCTGGACTGTATTGAGATAGTACATTTTGGATATTGTTCAGTCCAACAGATTGAAACTGTCTCTTTCTAGGATAAAACAGAAGAACACAATATGGATGTGTGAGCTTCACTCAAGACAAAAGGTCCAGTGGAAACACCTGGGATTCTCTGGATCTGAAGCTCAGACACAGCTGAGGTATGCTGTCGAATACGGGCGTTCAGTTTTAATTTACAACACTGCTTTCAAGGTCACCCGTTCCTTTCCAGAAACCTTGAAGGCTTTGGTTCATTTTCCTTAAATCAACAAACCTGTAAGGGCCTGGAGACCCTTGGGAAGTCTCTTGGTTGTATTATTATTGGAACGTGGTGACTGGAGCACATTAAAACTGATAACAAGCAGATCTCTCCTACAGGAAACACAGAGGCAGAGAGCACAGAACAAACATCACCCTTATTTAATGAAGGCGTTTTATCTCAGAGTTTCTTTAACAGTTCTGTTCTTAACGCCAAACTCTTGACACAGGTGGAAACTTAATTAAGATGATTCCTGGAAAATGTCGTGTTGAGTTTTCACCATTAAAACCCCAGAAAAAGTTTGAGATGTGCATTAAATCTACCAGAGTGGAAGGAGTGGATGTACAAATCACATGACACGGTCTTATCACTTACACAAAGCCACCAAATAAAAGGTCACACGCAGAATCACAGTTTCACATCTCCACACACGCCGTCACATTTACAGCCACGCTCCGTCTCACACACACTTTCATCTCGCAAATACTCATAAAGTCACAGTTTTTCCTCTCTCACACTTTCTGGTCTGAAACCACAGGCACCACAAATAGCTATCATCAGCTCTCTGTCTCTGCGCCTCTCAGCTGGCAGCTTATTACATGTGGTTAAACTCAACCAAGCGGCAGTCTGGCCTCCCAGAGATTACTGCTCCTCACCAACACCACAAACTCAAACGGTGACCGACTACGGTTCATTTTCTGTTGTCAAACAAAGAGCTGATTCATCTATTACACTCTTTCTGCTATGGTAAATTGATTGTCTTTGATTTTTTTGAGTTTCAAAACAAGCAACAATATGTCACGTCTGTCTCTGGGAAATACTGAAGAGCGTTTTTCACCGTTTTCTGACGTGTTACAGACCAAACAAGGAACCGACACATCATCTGCTGATTCTTTACAGATGAAAACAATGGTCACTGCAGCCCTATTCTTTTCCTTTGTAGTTTAGTCTATAAAATGTCCAGAACTATGGGGCGTTGAGTGGCGCAGTGGGTTCAGCAGGCGCTTATATGTAGAGGCTACAGTCCTCGCTGCAGCTGACCTTTGAATCCCGCATCGGACGGCCCTTTACTGCATGTCATTCCCCCTCTCTCTGCCTCCCCATCTCCTGTCTCTCTCTACTGTGCTATCAATAAAGGCATAACAAGCCACAAAAAATATGATTTAAAAAAAAAAATGTCCAGAACTGAAAAGACACATAACCATCAAATGTCTTCCAGGAGGTTGTTCTGTCAAACCAGGAGCCCGAAGCCAAAATCATTTCACTTAAAATCATTAAGATAAGGAAAAGCAGCACATTTTCACATCTGAAATAGAACCTGAGAAAAAGTTGAAAATCTTTGCTCAATAAACTTAAATGAATCATCAATTATCAAAATTAGTGTCCGTTAACTCAATCATTTACTTTGGGAAATACAAAGTTATTCCAAAACATACTTTTTCAACCAAAAAGACACCAACCTTCTAGAACTGTCTACAAACAGAGACGGGCAAGAAAGCTGCCAAACAAAACTTTGATATAAATCAGGAAGTATCTAATGGAGGAATGTGTAAACAAGACGAGCAACATGTCTGGACCATTTGATGCCGACTTTCAAATCATTTTGTTTTCTACTTCAGAAAATACTGAGGTTGGAAACCCGACCCTGCATCAGAGAGAGGTCTTCTCTTCTCTGCACCTCTCAGATCGAACCTGTCAATCAAACAGTATGGGTGGTACTGTGGAATCATTTTCCTTGAAGTTTCTGTAGGTGTCGCTCTCAAAGCCAGAAATAAAACAAACACCTCCCTGTGAGTTTTCCAGAGGAGGAAACACTGTTAAATTAGGAGGAGTGCTTTAACATTATGACTTTCACCCTCATAAATGTGACAAGCGCCTGGCGTCGAGTGGAGAAACAACAATAACACAATATAATAGAGATGTTTTAATGATTCCCACTGGGAGAGTTGCTTTTCCTTCTCCCCTGCTCAGAGGTCAGCCACAGCAGAGATGCAGTATCTTAATTTAGCACAGACATTAGCAGGGTGGACCTCAGAGCCTCTGTAACACTGAGCTATCACTCCAACACACACAACTGTCCACAGGACGACCCCACCCTGAGCCACAACATACAGTACGTTGTACAAACAGGTTAAACCCCCACCAAAGCAAACAGGCTGAGCGTGAAGACGATCAAAGTTTCCGCGTGCGTCACGACAAGGAAACGACCTGAAAGTCGCAAAAACTCTTCACCTGTCTGGATATGAAACACCTCACACAAAAGCAGGCTTTAAAAACAGCACCGAGATGTTCTCCCTGCATCTGCTGAGAAATGATATTCCAGAAAAAGAAGGAGGGGAAAAGCTGTTAAATCCACCCAACAGACCGTCTGGACTTAGAGGGTTTCACGGCACTGGCCATGAAATCTCCGATACACTGCTGTCAACTGGCAGGCGCCCGCACGCACACACACACACACATCCGCACACATGCAGCGCTGGGATTAATCCTAAATTTGGTTGGCAGCCACCAATGGGCTCATGTAGATTCAGCTGAATATCAAAACATATTCGGAAGGGATTTTCAGGACAGGAATTAACAGCCCCAGAACGAGAAGAGCTCAGACACGAGCGCTACCTTCAAAACAGAACCGAACACTCAGGTGGGAAGACAGGAAATAGCTCCTCTTGATGTACATGCATCTACATACATATGGCTTCAGATGGAGGAGGAGGAGGAGGAGGAGGAGGGAGTAAAGTGATAAGACATGGTCCTACATTCATTTAGCTGCAGCGGGTTCAGTTACAAAACAAATGTCCTCAAAACAACATCGCAAAAGCATAAAGATTCATTCTCTTACTTCCACAGACACTAGAACTGATCCAGGATCCAGGTCCAGGAAGCTGAGCCTGAGCCTGAACACCCCCCCCTGAACACACAAACACACACCAGCAACAGGAAACTTGATGTCATCGGGGGGGTGGGGGGGGGTTACTTAGCGCTCATTCTGAGGCTCTAAACATGGAAACGAGTGCTGGACCACGTGTAAATACGTTATGCAACACACTCATCACATATTGAAAATGTCTGAAATATTGATTTCCGCGGTCAGGAGGAAGAACAGTCACTCTGGGTTGATAGCTCGGGTTTACTGAGTGTATGGGACACAGGTTTGAATCCCACCTTTAAAATGCTCAGAGACTCCAGCACACAGTTTAAATATCTGATCCGTGACTTCACTGAGGAATCTCTCAGTGTGGGAGAGGCTGTCTTTACGACAGCTGGGAAGAAAGCCAAACACATACCCAGCATGCACTGTTGGGGAGGGGGGGGCTGCGTCCCTGGGGGCCAGCCATCTCATTTTAAAACTTTTTTTTAATCCAGAATAAGTTCTCTGAGTGCGTCTGCTCCTCTGATGCAACGTCAAAGGAGGTGATGGGGAGATGCGCCTTGCTCAAGGGCGGCACCACAGACGTTTTAGGATTTCCAACCACTGTAAACATCAAGCAAAGTGCTCCTGATGGGCCAAGGGTTTTAACTTTTAAAGGTTTTGTCTCCAGTTTTCCTCAGTGTTCTGGGGATTTGAAGGAGCAACCTTCGACCTTTGACCTTCAGGCTGGCTGGTGGGAAAGAGTAATGGTATGACAGGAAGCTGAGATTCGATTGATCAATCATTTTATCCACAATATATAAAAAAATAAATAGTGAAAATATGAAGCTTGGGTGATATCCAAAACTGAATACCTCAATACTGTCAAGCCCAAATATCTGGATATGATATTCTTGGGGGGTTGGGGGACAAAGTGACCAACAGTCCAAAACCCAAAGACATTCAACATACAATCATACAAAACAACTAAAAGCAGCAAATCCTCAATTTTCAAGAATCTGGAGCCACAGAATATTTTGGCATTTTGCTGCGCTGACAGTTTTTTTTTTTTACATAATTTTTAACTTTCAGCATCAATAAACGTCCAAAAACCCTCCAGCAGTGACCATCTGCAGGGTTTCTAACGGGGTACCATCTCGTTTTCTGTTCTCCTTCCTTGTGGACAGTTCATTAATGGACGGCACGTACTTGTGTAAATCCCTCTTCTTTCATCTCCTTAATCAGCGTTTTGATCGTGGTCTGATTCTGAAGTCGTTCCAGCAAACGCCGCGCCAACAGAGCTCATCGAACAGAAATCGACTAGTGCTGACTGGCAGTCTGACAGAGCAGACAATACACATTCAGCAGGTGACTCTCCTTACAATTTAAATTCCTCCCACCTTAAATCACCCCACCATCCTCCCTTTTCTTCTCTCACTCACTCATTTGGACGGACACGAGAGGCAAACAATCACAAAGCATTTGCATCAAAAAACAAACCAGCGGTACCTTGAAACAGTTAGAGAATCCCAGCCAGCCTGGCTGCACCTGAACGCCCCGGCAGAGGGAACAAACACAGACAAAAGGAAGCAAAACAACAGAGTGGGATGTAAGAGAGACGTGACTCACCTGTGCGCTCAATGTAGTCCACGCATTTCTCAATAAAGAGGGGGATGGGTCGATCCAGGGTCACCAGGTTCTGCAGGGGAACACCGAAGTAGTTGCTCTCCCAGGTTCTCCGGGTGGGGGGGTACAGAGGCTTGGGGGGCTTGGAGGATTTCGGCTGTGAGGTGGGGATGAGAGAATAAAGAAGAGGGATGAGGTGAGATGGTGAGAACCAACAAAGGGGGAGGAAAGTGATTGCAAAAGAAGGAAAGGGCCGGAAGGATGGACAGATGGAAATGAGGAAGAGATAACAAAACAAAAAGAGAACAGACAGGGAGGGGTGAACAAAAGGAGAGGGGGAAGGGGGAAGAAGGGAGGGAAAAAGAGGAAATAAAGAGGGAAGAGTGAGCAAGAAGGAAAAGGGAAGTAAAATGAAAGAAAAAAGGAAATAGCGAGTTTAAATAAAAGATTAAGCAACAGGAAAAGAGGAAAGAGGCCAAATGAGATGATGGAGGAGAGACAGGAGTAAGGAGGGATGAGGGTCGAGAAAAAGGCAGACAGGAGGAAGGGAAGGAAAATTAAGTTTTAAAGAGAGAGAGAGAACATGGAAATGGAACGAAAGAAGAGGGAATTGAGGGAAAGACATGAGGGAGAGGAGAGAGGGTGAAGAGGAGGCAGAACATATCAGAGGAGAAGAAGAAGAAGAAGAGGAGGAGGAGGAGGAGGAGGGCAATCAGGGAATAGATCAGAGAGAAAGTTAGTGGGATGAAGCAAGAGAGAGGGAGAGAGCGAAGGGAGGTTCAGGTGGAGGAAGACAAAAAGAAAGAAGACAACAACAGACAAAACCGTTCTTGGAGAACGAAGCTGGGACGAGTAACGAGGAGCTGAGGTCGCTTTGATTTCCCACACTCCTCTGCTCTTCAAAGTGTTGTCATGCCTACAGCGGTTCGGGCTCCTCTAATTGGCCGGGGCGGCGACTAAACACCTTCCATTTTGTACCTTCTGGTTCTCCGATCGCTCTCCTCTCTGATTATCAAAGACGGTTTGTATGTTCCAATAATGCCCTGCATTCATGACGCCCTGCAGCACCGGCGGCCGTTTCTCTACTGATTTGCACACATTATCTGTTTGGTGTCAGCGCACTCGCTCGTGTGCACGTGTGCGTTTGTCAAAGTCCAATTGTGTGTTTGTGCCCGGGCTGCAGGAAACTGACAAATAAGTCATGCTGTGATTATTTCTGCCAACAGCCTGGTGTTCTGTGTGTGTATTATATTTCTGAAGTGACTACAAACATTTTTAATCTAAAGCAGATGTTGCTGCTTCATGTTTGAATTTAATACAAGTCCGTGTTAACAACGCTCAACTCGACTTCATAAAATGGCAAAGGAGGCAAAATATTGAGGATCCATTTTGACTCTGACCGAGTCTGAACATGGAGGAAGTTTATTTTCTATATAACTTTATTATTTCTCGGTCTATAATGAATCTGTAACGAGGAGGAACCTGCGAGTCTTTTGTGAGGAATTCGTTCATGGCTGCGTGAGTGTACTCGTGTGTGGGCGTGTACGTGCTCTGTATGCTAATGTGTGCTTTTACCTTGGTTTCCAACATGGCTGTTTGATCTGCGTGTTTCTTCACTTGTACACGTGTGTGTGTTTACAGGCGAGCGTGTGTGTACACAGTGTTTGTCTCTGCATGAAACACATGCACGTGTTTATACAGGCCCGGCTCAGACAAGCCTTCAGACAGGATGAGGAGGAGGGATAAGCAGACATCTTATCACAGATGCAGCTCTGATCTGAGATTATACACACAGAGCTCCACTGTCTTTCACTGTCTTTATCAAGCTTTTTTTTATTGGTTCTCTGGGGCTTGTAAGGTGGGGAGGCTCATAAACCATTTCAGCAGTGGGGCCGATCAATCAATTATCAAATTAGTTTATTCTCACCACAAGTCCTGGGGATGTAAAGAGCAGAAATGAGCTCGTACCCCCCCCCCCAGTCTTTCACTCTCTCGCTCATATTTAAAGCACTGAAGCTCTTTCACTCCCTCTAAATAAAAACACACACGCAGGCTTTGGCTCAGTGTCTTGGAGAGAACCATATTTTTGCTGATTTATAAAGATCATCCTGTTCAATTCAACATTCATGAGAGATGAGACTCACCTTCTTTGGTTCCTTTGGTGTTTTAGGCGTCTTCTTCTTCTTCATCTTCTTGTCCTCCTGCTCAGGGTCGGAGGTGATAGCAGGGTTATCTATCCCGCCCTTCCAGGGGTCGGCGGGGGACAGCAGCGGGTCCTCCTCGCTGCCCCGGTGGGCTCTTCCCTTTTTCTTTTTCTGCGTGGCAGGGCCAGACTCCTCGCCGTCGCTGTCGGAGTGGAATCGTCTTTGGTAGGCCTTCGTCTTACTGAAGAGGATCTTTGAACGGTGTTTGTATTTTGACGGCCGCCGTCCGGTCTGAGACTTTCGGTCGAACCCGTTCTCTTCCTCTCCTCCTCCGTGGAGACCATGTAACCCGCCGAAGGAGTTTCTTATTTTGACCAGACGGCTGTGCGTGTCCTCGGGCACGGCGTATATGTCGTCGTTGTGGAAGCCCCTGGACCTGAGCAAGGTGTCCACAGGGTCTGCATAGTTGTCCGATGCCTCCACATCCTCGCTGTGCGTCATTGTGCCGCGCGGCATCCTGCGGTTACTCCTCATGCCGGCCTCGATGGTTTTGAGCAGGTTGGGGTCCAGCTTTTTGACGTTGGGCTTGGGGAGAACAGGTTTGGGCCGCACAGGTGGAGGCACTTTGTGGTTGCGTTCATGGTCTCCCACAGGTGTGCTATGGACGGGATACTCGTTCCCCTCTAGGTCGATGCGGTACTTGGCCCGCTCACTTGGCGTGGGGAGGAGCTGGACGTCATCACCTATTGGACTGTAAGGGGGAGGGGCTTCATTGTCGTCGTCAGATTCTGGATAATAAGTGTTGTAGGCCGGGGAATGGCTGTGGGGCGAGGTAGGGAAGACATCTTCACTGGCACCAGTGGTGCACTCGCGTGACGAGCTGTCAAACAGGAAGGAGCTCTCGATGCTCGGCTTCTTCTCCAGCACCTCGTTGAAGAATGGCGTGAAGACCTCGGTCTGCCGATGATACTGTGACAGAGAGTACAGGGCTGTGAACTTGGCCGCAATCTCTGTGGCAATGTGCTCCCCCTCCGTCATCAGCTCCTTGATGGCGTCATTCTCAAAGAAGTCTGCCTGGCTGTCTGTGATTGCCACCATCTGGACGGGGATCACGTCCTGGACTTCGGCCAAGAACGCCCGCAGCGTCGCCATGGACGCCTTGCGTTTGGCAGAGTAGACCAAAATGTAGCCGTGCACCAGCTCGTCTTTGCGGACGCCGATCGCGGAGTGATAGGAGAGGACGGTGACCTGGATCCTCCTCCTGCTGTCGCCGATGATCTTGTCCAGTATCAGCGTGTTGCTCTGACCCGGCTGCCCCGCGCTGCAGCAGTGCGAGTCCAGGAAAGGTGAGAGGATGAGGTCGACGCTGAAAGGATCCCAGCACATAGCACACATGACTATCCTCAGGTCTGTCTCTGACATGTCTTTTATAGAAGGCAGCGGGGCCAAGACATCAAAGTTATGCTTCAGCCCTTCCAGCACAGCTCGGAGACCCTGCTTAATTTGGAACTCTGTGAATTTACGTGGGAAGGCCCCAGAGGGGATGTCGACGAAGGTGCACTGCAGCTTGTTAGCCAACTGTTGGCCCTGGTGCCTCAGGATGGGGATGTTTTTGCAAACACTGTCCCTCTGATTTGCCAGGATGAGAATGAACGGCAGCGGCTGAGCAAATCTGTCTCTCCTGCTCTGTGCTATCTCCGCTCTGATCCTGCCTATGCAGTCTCCAATACAGTTGAGAGACTCTATGGAGTTGAACACACAGAAGCAGCCGTGCGGCTTGAACGTATTGACCCACGTGTGGCTGAAGAGCAGCGTGGAGTTGACATCCACGGGAAGAAGCTCCAGCTCATAGATTTTCCCGTCGAGGGTGTACTCGTCGTCTGTGGACTGAGCTCGGATCTCATTGGCTAGTTCCTGTGAGAGACCCTCCCTTCCCAGGAGGCAGAGGTTGATCTTATCGATGTTGGCACTGTTATAGTAGAGATTAGAGCGTCCATGGTCGAGCTGCACCAGCCTGTTTGCCAGAACCTGCTCCACTTTCAGATCCACACAGTTCTGCCCGCTCAGGCACGTCTCCTTGGTGGGGTGGTAAACAAACCCGATGTGTTTAAGGAGGAGAGACTCTCTGTCTGGGGCGAGTTTCTGCAGCGCTCTGTATCTGGGCTCCTCGTTCAGCACACTGTGGATTTCGCTCATCTTGTCGCAGCTGGGGGTGGCGTTCAGATCCAAGTCATAGAACAGCTCAGCGTGCTCAAAAAGCATTTCCTGAAAATCCTCTTTGGCCCTTTCAACTATTTCCTGCTGGTGTCTACAGTAAACATCCCTCCTATCTGATTCTGTGATGTACTTGTAGGCCTCGTCCTCCATGACGAAACACATTACTTCCTCCCACGGCTGCCCCGGGCTGATAAAGTGAACCCTCTCCAGCGTCCTCTTGAACCTCTCCTTCATCTCCACCCGTCTCTTCTCTGACAGCAGGTGCTGGACGTGGTTCCGGTAGATCCTCTCACCGTCCGGCGTGTCGAGCAGGTCAAAGGGTATCCTGCGGTCGCTGTTGTCGATGTGGTCCGTCTCATCCCATGGCGTCTGTTCCAGAACCACAAACCAGTACTGGAAATCAGGCCGGTTCCGGATCACACTCTGCGCCTCGGGCCAGGTGAGGTGTTCGACCTCCTCCAGGTTGTTGAGGATGTTGTTAAGGGTTTTGGGTAATGTGGTCAGGTACTCCTCCCTCCTCCTCTTAATGTGCTCCTGTTTCAGTTGTGCAATGTGCTTTGTGAATATGCTGCGTGCCTTCCTGGAGCCCTCCAAGGTGATGAACTCATCGTAGTCGGGTTGGCCCTTCATATTATTGATCACCGTTTTCCACGTGGTATGGTAATCTCTCACCGTGTGCACCATCAGTTTGTCAAATCTATCTGTTACCGAGGCAACGAGCTGCCGTTGGATTTTATAGGCCTCCAGATATGGCACAGTTTTTGGTTTCCCCCTTGTTTTGTCCAGCTGCTGGATGAGCGAGTTGAAGCAGATCTCCACATTGACGTTGGAGCGCGCCGACGTCTCGATGAGCAGCAGGTTCTTCTTGCTGGCGACGAAGGCCTGCAGGTCCCTCAGGTGCTGGTCCACGCACTCGTCACATTTTGTGGCGGCGACGACGATGGGCTTCTTCGACTTGACGGTTTGAGAGTAGAGGCTGTTGACAAACTTCATTTGGTCATCAAACTTCCTGTTGCAACCCTTGCTCACATCAATGCAGAGCACGAAGCCGTCGATGTTCAGCTTCCCATCAGGCATCTGCTTCTGGTCAAAGTCCTGCTCGAGGCCCAGCTGGTCCGTGCAGATGTACATCAGCTTCTCAGCTGACTGGAGCTTGGTCGCCGCCGCCCGTTTCGTGTATGGCTGCAGGTTCGTGCTCCGATGCGGAAGAAACGTCTGGTCGTCAATGAACTCCGTTTGCTCAATGACTTGGATTTTACAGTCCAGCCCGTCGTCCCCTCGATGGGACACGTCCCCCCAGTACAGAAAGTGGTCATTGTTAACCACACGTCCACCAAAGTCTATTGTGCTCAGCACTGAGGTGTGCTCCGAGTAGTAGCTGTCCGCATCGGGACGCACATACCGATTGCACAGGCAGGACTTGCCCACGCCACAATTTCCCTTCTCTTTCTCCGTCCCCGAGAGGCCAACCACACTGACGGCGAATGTCGGGGGGCGAGCATCCTTGTTCTTGGCCATTATATCCCCCCGCTCATCGCTGACTTGGTCACTTCCAGGAAAAAAAGGTCAAGATATCATTCCAGTTCTGCTCATCAGTGGTACAGAGGCACTTTCATCCTGATTTCCCCTTGGTCACGGTGAATCCCCCTCCCACTCTGTCCTGGGTCTTCTTCACACTGGGAGAAAGCAGCCGGCTTCTCCTTCTATCACCTGCCTGCAAGACATGGAATTCACAATTAGGAAAAGATAAAGGCAAAACAAACAAAAACACGTTCGCACTGATTCGTCCTCAGAACACCTCAGAGTCTCCTTATCACAAATAATACAATTAGAATATTCCTCTGGGACACACGTGTACGTACATGCGTGCACAGCCTAGTGGTTTAAAACAACACATCAGACATGTTAATATGGCATTACATAGTTATCAGCAAATTAGACAAAAGAACACATTATCACACTTGTGCAGGACAGAACAATCTCTCCTACATGGTTAAAGCTGACTAAAGGGTTTTGATCGGAGCTACGTGCCCTGCTAATGAAACAAACAAAAAAAATGCATTTTTGAGAAATTTGATTTAAAAATATGCAACATCAAAATGCCTTTTGCGGAGTGTGAGAGTAAAACTTATATAAGAGAAGGGACCGTGCTCGGCAATGTCACTTTATCCCTCGCACAGAAAAAGAAGTGCTTTCAACCAATTTGTGCCGAGGCAGGATAAAAATGGCATGCAACTCCAGCCCTTTGACAGCCACTGACCTAGAAATGATTTGCTTCGCTGGGAGAATGAAACAGAGAAAATAAATCAGTTCACAGATCTGTTATCATCATCAGCACAACCTAGGGCTACGTGATTAGGGCTAAATGTATAATCCTGATTATTCTGCCTGTCTTTATTTGGCCCCACATTCTGGTCATGATTATTAATCCTGATTAGCACTCCTGATTATTTGTGGAACTGAAGTGTTTTGCCGCTTGCGACCACGTTGTCATTTCAACATTAACAACCTGGTGAAATTAAATGTTTCACTCCTGACAATCACAACGTTCTGCAATTACAGGCTGGCAGAAATTGAAATGTGGCAAACGCCTCCATCTGATTGACTGTGCAACCTTTCAGTCAGTATTATCTGGGACTGTCACAGTCAAATAAGCCTGAACCTCACCATGACCTAACTAGAGGCTGATAACCGATAACGGCAGAGAGAGTTGCAGTCATTGTTGTGTTTTACAGAACGATGGCAATCAGCCAGTGAATTTGCCTGCGTGAGCTGGAACTGCTCGCTGCAGCACGACGGCCTGCTGAGCCTGAGAAACTGCAGCAGAGCAGGAATCCGGTCCGCTGAGACGGAGCGGGGAGGTTTTCCCCCGACTGATTTTTCACACAGGTCAAGGTGATGATGTCACCTGAGCGGGGTGTGCAAGAAAATAAGACTTTTTTTTCAGTTCAAACATCAAAAGGAACAAACTTATGGGACTTGATTTAGTCCAAAACAAGGAGGACACATGGATGTGACTGCAGCCAATTATCTAACATATAAAAGTCATTACAAAACCCATTCCAATATTTACAGGACTACAAACACCTTTGGACACCTGAAATCAGGAGCTTCTTGTCCCTCAAACACACCCATGAGTTCACATGACGTCAGGCAGCAACGCCACCAGCAGGTCCATCAGGTTTAACCTCAGCACCAGCCCCTACAACAGCTACTGAGCTGTTACATGAGCCACACCTGACGTAGCAGGACGAGGCCATCTTAGCTTATGAACTTATGTGCTCATACACTAACGCTCGCAAGCAAGGTATAAAACTAACAACTATTTCACTTTTGATTCATCTACCAATCATCTGATTTATTGATTAATTACTGGCTCTAAGGTGGAGAAGTTAAAGTGTTGTGTTCACGTTAAGTTCTCAGTCCAACCAATAGACAAGCGCGGTGGAGCGCGTACCTTTAAGGCTTAGTCCTAACTGCAGCAGCCGTGGGTTCGAGTCCGACCTGTGGCCCTTTGCTATGTCATCCCCTCTCTCGCTCACTGCACTTATCAAAATAAAGGTCAAAATGCCCCCAAAGAAGTAAAAAACACATTTCAAACAGTAAAAGCCAAAGTGAGCAGTTCCACACATCTGAGACGCTGCGATCAGGAAACATGAGGAATCTTTACTTGGCAACTTACTAAAACCATCAATTACAAAATCTAGAATCTACTAATTTCCTGTTGATCGACTAACCAACTGATTATTACAGCCCCACATTCCTCCCTGAGTCCCATCCAAACCACAGTGTTTGAGAAGATCAGTCACCCAAATCCAAACATCTGTTTTACATTTTTATCAGCCAATATCAAAGTCTGTTTTCACTCTGCTGTCAACACACAGGGTCAATGTCAGCCTGAGATGAGATGAATAAATGTTAATATGCATGGAGAGGAGAACTGTAGCAGTGGTAGCTGTACACTGTAAACACCTGCAGGGAGCTGCTGATGGTCTTATTACTGCAAACAGCACAACACTACAGCACTAATGGCTAAAAGTAGCCTTGTGCATCATGATTAGTGTATTCACTGTGAGGCTGCGGGGGGGATTAAGGTATCACTTGGCAAGCTGGTTTTAGAGATGACTAAATGCTGTTAAGCCCTGAAACACAGAGCAACATGCTGCCAAGGAGGGTAAACCTTTTACAGCTGCACTCGCCTCAATTTTTAGGTAAAAATAAACTTTTTTTTTCTCCAGCCTAAATCACAAAGCATGGCTACAGCAGAGAAGAGCATCCCATCTAAGTTCAATGAGGTGCCACTGACTCATTATGCTTCCCTGAAAATTTCTGACTTCGGCTCCAGACAACAGCAATGAATCAAAACTTGTGAGCAAAATCCAAACTGTGAGCTCTCCAGCCAGAGAAAATGGACTCCCCCCAACACTACATCTTCTCCTTTCTACTCTTAGAATAAATCATGAGGCTTTTTGCAGCATACTGACCAGGAGGATTTCAGATTCTTAAACCATTACCTGCCACTACCATTTTTCACCTGCCAATGCGCAAAGTTGTGTAATTGCAGTTTTAAATGTTGGCTACCTCTTCATCCCAGGAACTACAGTTACAATGCAAAGCAACAAACCAGGAAACGGAAACTAAAATAATTTCACTTCCACAAACGTTAGTGTCAAATTCCCAAAATCAAAAAAGCATTGGTCTAAAATAGTCCGTTATTCTGCTTCAGGTGTGTCATAAGAGATGAGACCATCTTATTATATGTGGCTTAGTAATAATTTTATCTTTACTTCTATCCTTCTATTGTCTGAAGGAACTATATTCTTTTGCATTCACCATAAACTGCTTAACTACACATTGTTGGTAGGTACCAGTTAAAATAAAGCTTTGATTACACTGATTATTTTCATTCTAAACTACATTAAATGGCAGTGGGCTGGTGCTTCTTGGAACATGATTTCCTTTAGAGAGCCTCACGTTTTGAAACACAATCCAAGCTCATTCAAATAACTATGCCAACCTCCTCCCGAGTCAGGTCCAGACCTGAACCCGAGCGTCACTCATCCGACTTCCCCGATGATGTCAGAACAGTTTATAGGGCGACTGACACCATCAGCCCTGCCATCGCTCACGTTTGTCAGCACCGGTGTCCGTGTGTGGTTTCTAGAAGCTGATACTAGTATTGAATATTTCCCCCTCTATTAGCATTATGTCAATACCAATGTGCATTTTTTGTTCTGGTCTTTCACGCAGTGCAAAGCTCTTCAGATGTGCACATCCATACCTATCAGCTCTGATGTATGAGGGCATCTCTGCTCAACAATCAAACAGGAAGGTATCTGTCAAACATTCACTTATTCATCATGTAGATGGGAAATGTTTTGTCTGCAGGCAACAGCAACTACCTTAAATCAACATTTACAACCTACATGCTTTATTTCCCAAATGTCTACCATCAGTTTCCCACATGTAAAAACTAAAGAGGCAGCAATCTAAAAATTAGGCAGCCTTCAGTTGTATGTCACTTTCATTTGAGGATGATCACAACAGCTTTGCTCTAACACAGTCCATTTAAGAGAAAGGGCTGAAAAAAAAGCCCTGAACAGACTGACTGATGATAATGATAAACACACAGGCCCACTGACTCATTCAGAGCCCTTGTGGATTTATGGACACTAAAACAAGATAATAGCATGTACTAAGTGGAAACAACAAAGAACCTAATTGCTATTTTTCGACACAAATGGGTTCCACTAATAATTGGTGCTTTTAACAACTACTATAACTCAACAATGGAGCAAATTTTATACGAGTGCGGCGTCATGAATATTGAAAGGCTGGAGGAGAACCACCGGGGTCGGATAAAAGCCGGACTGTCCCTTTAACCAGAGTTTGGGAAAAGGGCAAAGGGAGCTGCAGCAGTCCGAGTCTAACGCCATCAGAGCCGCAGCAGCAGGACAAACCCACTGACCTGCTGCTGAACACACAGTTCATACAAACAAGTTAAAAGTGTGGGTACAACTCCTCATCACAGCTGGGACATTATGGGTTCAAACACCGTCATTAATGTCGGGAAAACTTCAATCATCTGCCCGGTGCCACTCCTGGATATGACCCTCATCCATCCTCGGTGCTCATGTTAGCGATTAGCAGGACGTTTAGGTTGAAAACTGGCAACCCAGCAACTTCAAACGGCTCGGAATACGTAAAATTAACGAAATGACCGATAAAAGCCATCACCGTGGTATCACTATGAACTGGGGCAGTGCAGTTATTAAGCAGCGTATTTTCTTTAAAGTGATTTAAGAAGGTTTTCCATTTGAGCCCATTTAATACGTTGTAATAAACCCCATTGAAAAGGGTGGATGTCAGTAAAACATCAAACTCTACGGTCAAAGGATGAGAGCGAGTTATGGGAGTTTTAGTTTGGCTTAATTAAAACCAACATACATAATGTTGATGCGTCAATGCGCCGCGGCTAACGATCACTACCTCAGGGTTTGACACGGCGGTTATTCATTTCTCCCGGGAACAGAAATGAAAACCCGGCTCGGTCTGGCTCGGCCCTGATACTCCAGGAGAGAAAAAAACCCACCTTTCCCAATCCCGATTAGCTAACATTAGCCGAGCTGTGTTAGCCTAGCATGCCAAGAGGATGACGGAGAGTTAGCTGGCTAGCGTTAGCAACACCGAACACTGGGGAGAAAGCGGTTTAAAAATCACAACCCGGGATAATTTAACAGCCTGGACGCACATTCCCGCCCCGGTTTCTTTTAACCCAGAACAGCACAGTCCTGTGGCCGGGTTTCGCCCACGGAAAAGAGTGCTAGCTAAGCTAATGAAGTCCCAATCCCAGTACAAATACATTCCCTTACCCACCTATTAACATGGTCGCTCCCAGATCCACATACCACGGAGAGGAGGAGAAAGCATTCCCACATTAAAAGGCAAAAAAACTCCTTTTTACAATCCACAGATCGCGGTCATTAGAGTCCTCCGACAAGATCCACAGGCGGGTCCAGTGTACGGTTCGGTCCCGGTGGTCCCAGACGGACGGTACGCCTGTATTTTAGTGTATTTTGGTGTTGTTGGTGTGGTATGCGTTGTAAGCCGAAACCTGCCTCTCTGCTCCCTCCCCTCTCAGCAGCACCGCCAGGCAGTAATGGCGACTCTCTCTCTCCTCACTCCCCACTCTCTCTATCTATGTCGCTCTACCTTTCCATTCAGTCTCTCCCTCTCTCTCCCTCCCTCTCTCTCCCTCTCTCTCCCTCTCTCTGTCTCCCTCTCTCTCCCTCTCTCTCCCAGGTCATATTCATATTATGAGGCATTAAATGTAAAAGTTATTTTATTTTATTGGCAAAATATAACATGACGACGAGAAAGGCATTAACAGAGTTGAGCTATATAATGTAATATAATATAATATAATATAACATAATATAATAATGATAATAACAACAACAACAATAATAATAATAATAATAATAATAATAACAATAATAATAATAATAATAATAAAAATAATAATAACAATAATATGAAATTCTATTCAATTTAAAACATAAACCTAAAATAGAAAATCTCCTCTAGGGGGCCCGGGGCAAACATTTGTTGTTGGTCCCTATTGGCCCCCATTGTACATGGCAGTTTTATAATTTCCCAAGGCATCCAATAACCAATTAGCCAATGGACAGGAAATTGATAGGCAACAATTTTGATGACTGATTGATCATTTATAATAATTTATTAAAAAATGCAAAATGAAGAAAGTGGTTCCAATACATGCTATGAACTCAACATCTTTGTGTTTCTGACTGAAAAAAAAATGAAGAATATGAATTGAAAAGAATAGAAAAGAATACATCAATTTGGGCCTCAGGGAATAATGATAGGCATCCAGTAAACAATCAATGATTAATAATAATAATTTCAGGTATATTGATCAAAGAATGAATGCCTTTCCAGTATGTCTATGATAGAATAATACAACATATCAAATGGAAGAAATTTGATAAAATATTTTCAATTTTTTAAAACAAGTGAGTTCAATATAATTTCAATAATTCAGGTCTTATTAGTTTTTGACACAGATCGTGGCCACACCATGGAGGATGGAAGATGCATCATAGCTGATATTGTACCTCAAGTTTTCTGACTAATTTGCATTTAATCAGATTATATTAGCAGGTGGCGGCTTTGCCAAGTTGGTAATCAAACCTTGTTGAAGTTTTTCAACTGACATCCGACCTGTTCTGAAAGACGTCATATAACGACTGTATCTGATAATTGTGATTAATATTTAGAATAAATTGTCAATAAATAATAACTAAGTCCCACCACAAGTTCACTTTGACATAATTCATGTCATCAAATTTCTTATTGCTAAATGCAGAGCCAGTGTAAACCACCAGGGGCCGAGGGGCAAAAATAAACCCTAATGTGTTTTATTTTATTTTATCTGTTTTCTATCTCCTGTTTTGTTTTACTCTTTTAAATCTTACTTAAATGTGTCTTTTTGTATTGCTGTCTTTTCTAAATTCCTCTCATGTCTTATGAAAAGCTCTTTGGAATATGTTGCTGAAAGAAGCTATGCAAATAGACACGCTTTGCCTTTTGACCCCTGCTGTCTGCGTGTTGTGTATGAATTAATTAGTCATTATAATTTGTTTGTGGTAGCTTGATTAAGCACAAATTTGCATAGTAAACCTGCAACATACACTGTGAGCACAAGATTATAAAGCTCTTAGATTTGAATGCCTGACTCCTGAACAAGCTGGTGCTGAAGTTCAGAGTCCAGGTGCATTATGTAATACATATATAATATATTTCTATATGGAATACCTGATGAAGGAAGAGCGGAGCAATACAAAAGTTTTTTTTAAGTTATGCAAAAAAAAAGAACAAATAAATTTGCAGTTAATTAAATGACCACAGACTAATTGAGGCTTCAGGCAGTCGTCCACTTTTCCTGATTAGTAATTTATTGTTACCTTAAAAATATTCACTCTTTGTTTGTTTGTTTCAGAATCAGAACAAACTTTATTGTCCAAGTATCTGCTTTATATTTATATGATCGGCTTTTTCACAGCAGATATTTTGAAAGCACATTATGTTACTATAATAATAATAATAATAATAATAATAATAATAGTAATAGACTTTAACGATCGTCCCATGACCAAGCCATGAGAATGTGACATTGAACCAACATACATAATATACCAGGACCCTGAAACGCAGCTAATTAATCAGCATTTTATTCTTTATAAACTTTATTATTTGCACATACGCTCCTTTTACAAGTTATTTCAAAATGTCTTCCATTAAAAAGGCTTATTCTAGCTCAGTATGTATGTCAGCTATATGTTCAATAACACATGTTATTACCTATGGGTATATTACAGTAAGACGTTTTAGTCTGGCAATGTCACTGTGCAGGAAGTGTTCATTACATCACTTGTTGGTTAATTTACAATTATATAAAGAGGAAAATCTTCATATTCAGTATGAGCAATAGTTTTAAACTGATGGATTCACCACACTGGAACATATAGAGTCATACTCACTGGTTGTCCATCATTAGACTGATCAACTGATCCACTCTGTTTCAGCAGATAGAAACACACGTGCTGCCAAAATAAAGGATGAAGGATCAAGTTAGACAATAAACAAAAAAAGTGGTGTTGACCAAATGTGACAGACCTGCAGTGTTTACATGACCTACATGCAGAAACATCCCCACACACTGTCTGTGTGAATATATATGACATCATGTTATATGGAAGTGTGAGGCAGCTGCTGCTGTCTCTGTGTCCTCTTCCTCATTGTGTGACTGTCTCTCTGAGCCTGTTTGTATCACTGTTTCTGTCTCTCTTTGTGTCTCTGTCTCTTTTCTGATTCATTTCAATAATCCTCTTTATTGGCTGAATGTTCGATGAGCCGTGTTGCCAAAGCATCTAAATACAAATTAAAATCTCGCTCTCGCTCTGTCATTCTCTCTGGTTCTTCATTACATTTGGGATTTTGTTTTTTTTTTCCAGTGTAAATAAATAAATAAATACAGTAAAATGTGTCTGAGTAGAATGCAGGTTTTCTTTATTTCCTACTTTTGAAATAAACGAAACATTTTGTCAGATAATCCATCACCTCAGCAACAAATTTTAATCTTATCACAGACCTGTCTCCTGGTTCCTTCTGCTTATTAAAAATTTCCCTAGAATTTCCTCATTAAGTAAGTTAAAGCAACATTTCTCTGATGATCCAGTCCCAGTATTGACAGTAATGAATAGAAATGCTGCAGACACTGTCATGGGGGGGGGGGGGGGCTGTGGGTGCACAAAGGAGTCCGCAGTGAAAATCCTTCATTTATATTTCAGTTGTTCTGGGCTGGATCAATATGTGCTGCTGGTTCCAGTGGATTCCCTGGAGTGCGATGCTGCGTTAATGAGCCTCAGAGCTCAGACAGAATACACTCACCGAAAACAGTGAACAGACTCAGTGGACAGGTCAGAAATCTAATATTAACCCAGCACAGGATGAAGTATAAGGACATATATGGTATTAAATGATAATGTTTTTAAAAGCTGACACTTCCTCATGAGAACTTAAAGTAAAAAAGCCCCTAAAACAAATCTCAATACACTAATAAAAACAAATGTTGTATATATGTCCTGTGTCCACTCATTGTTCGACGGGGTGAGGCTTCGCTGGTGTTTATGTAACTGTAACACTCAGGAACAGGACCTGATTTTGGGTTCAGACCATCAGATCAAAGATGGAAGGTTTCTGTTTTAGAGCACCAGTGATGTCACAGTCCCATGGGGACAAGTCCATCAGAGACCAATTCTGATAATGGAGCAGAGAGGAGACTGCAGCCAGAGGAGCTTTGGGCTGAATGTGTCTGTGTGACTGTGTTTATAACCAAAATACAACCTCTGTAACGTGATGCATGTTTCTCATGTGTGTCTAGGTTTAACACATGACACAAGCAGGGAAAAGCACTCAGCTATAACTGAAATAAAGAACAAATCACATTTATTTAAACAGAACAAAAATATAAACACACAACACTCTTTATGAGTTGAAATAAAAGATGGAGGACTTTGTCTTTCTTTCAAATCTGGTTCATAAATGTGTTTAAATCTGTATCAGTGACTGTTTCTCCTTTGCCAAGATGACCCCGCACCTGACAGGTGTGGCACATTAAGTTGCTGATTACTGCACAGGTGTGACCTGGGCTCGTCACAATAAAAGGTCACTTTAAAATGTGCAGCTTTATTTTGAAAGAAAACATTCATTAGGCACTGAACTGAGGAGTCGAGGGCCAGAACCATAGAAATCTTTGTTTTCTGAGTGATCCAATAAAAATACAGCAGATTTCAGTTTAAAACACTCAGAGAAACCAAATCCTGCAAGGTTTGGATGGTGGGTCCAGGTGGGCGGGGCTTGGTGACTGCTTTGTTGTGACATCACAAAGTTCCAGAAGTCCTGACGGCTGGTTTTAAGGCTCAGTTTCTGAATACAGGCTGTGTGCATTTCTCTGTGGACTGAGGCTTTGATACTTTCACAGTATTAATATAGAAGCTAGAGCTGATCTATAATCACACTACACATGGACACAGACCTTTACACTGGAGGAGCTTTCATAATGATTTAATGTCCAGTTTGCTTGAACATGTTTCAACAACAACCTTCATTTGAACAAATGTTAACCAGGATAAAAACACACTGGTGCTGAAGCGTCTGTTGTTGAATCACATCACAGGAGAGAATATGAGCCAGAGACTCACTTCATGTTGTTGTGTTGTTTGTATTTTGTGTCTCTGGTTCATCTCCAGGTTGCAGCAGACACATTGACAGCTCTGACCCGTTCTCAGGGTTTTTCACAAACCCTATATCATCGAAGGGCATTTTGAGAAATGCAGTAAATCAACACAAAAGTAGAAGTTGCTGAGGAGGTTGACGTGTGTGTGTGTGTGTGTGTGTGTGTGTGTGTGTGTGTGTGTGTGTGTGTGTGTGTGCCACAGGCGACCCCTGCTGCAGGCCCTGCACCATCAGCACCTCCATATGGAATCTGCAGATGTTTCACTTTCTGTCAGC